GAATGGATGTCGAGGGCAATTGGTGTCAATTGCCGGCTGGAAAGATATTGCAAATCAAATGCAATATCTTTCATAGACAACTGGGAACACTTCTATGGAAGAAATGAAATGTATGCTCGTGATGGGGTGCATCTATCGAGAGCTGGGGTTGTTGCTGTTGCGAACTCGTTGGAAGAAGTGGTTAGAGGTGTTTGTTTGGGTTTAAACTGTTAGTAGATAGAGGTATGGGAATTGATTTGGAGGAAGGAGGTAATAAAAGTATGTGTTTGTGGGAGAAAGGAATTGGCAAAATGATCAGGGAAAGAGAAGGGCCTCAAAATAACAATTCACTTAGGGTATATTACACTAACAGTAGAAGTCTAAGAAATAAAATTAACGAATTAAATGCTCTTGTCTGCACAGAAAAAATAGATATTATTGCACTTACCAAAACGTGGATGAATGTAGAAAATAGAGAACTATTACCTGAATATCAAATAAATGGATTTAAACTATTTCACACAGATAGATATATTAGACGAGGAGGTGGAGTAGCCATATATGTTAGGGACAATTTGAAATGTAGTCTCAAAGAGGGAATCAAAACTGAGCCACACACAGAAACTATTTGGATAGAATTAAACGAAAAAGCTAATAATATTATAATAGGAGTTATATATAGGCCACCAAATTTAGACAGAATGGAAGCAAAGCATCTATGGGATGAAATATCTAGAGCATCTAGATCTAACAGTATTTATGTCATGGGTGACTTTAATTTTAGTGGAATAAACTGGTTGAACAAAACAGGGAATAGTGAAGCAGAAGATTTTCTAGAATTAATTGACGATTGCTGTCTTACGCAACACATTAAGGAACCAACACGGGAAAATAATATTTTGGGTTTAGTGTTAACTAACAGGGAAACACAAATTAATGACATCGAAATAGGGAGTGAGCTAGGGAACAGTGATCACAAAGAAATCAGATTTAGCATAAAATGGAATAGACCTGTAGGAGAAAATTCTGTTAAAGTGCCAGATTTTCGAAAAGCTGATTTTAATAGCCTAAGAAATTTTTTGGGTCAAATTGATTGGAAAGCCTTGGGTATGGGGTGTGGGCTGGTCTTGGAGTGAGACATGAACCCAGCGATAGGTGAATTAAATGGGGATTTCGATGTGGATTCAATATATAACTTATTTAAGAATATTCTAAACAAAGCACAGGAACATAGTATACCATACAAACTGAATAGATCGAAAACTAATGACCCAAAGTGGATAACTAAGAATTTGAAGAACCTTATAGGTAAAAAGAGAGCTTGGTACAAAAGGATTAAAAATGGGGAGGTCACTTTAGAACAGGAATTCGTACAACTGGTTAGAAATGTTAAAAAAGAAATAAGGAAAGCAAAAAGAAACTATGAAGTTCGCATAGCAGGGCAAGCAAAGACAAATCCTAAAGGGTTTTTTCAGTTATATCGTACTAAGACTAGGGAAAGGATAGGTCCATTAAAAACTGAGACAGGTCAAATAACAGATAGTGATGAAGAGATGAGTAGTATTTTTAATAAATATTTTGTATCTGTATTTACTAAAGAGGAACTTGACAATACAGTATGCCTTCAGCCAAACAAGTCTATGTGGGTGGGGACGAGGACAGGTTGACGAGTTTAGCAGTTACCAGGGAGGATGTTCTTAAACAAATAGTAAAACTCAAACCAAAGAAATCCCCAGGGCCGGATGAAGTGTTTGCCAGGGTGCTTAAAGAATGCAAAGAGGAGCTTTGTGACCCACTGTCAACCATATTTAATAAATCAATAGAGTCAGGCAGAGTGCCAGAGTTTTGGAAAGTTGCTAATGTGATACCAGTTTTTAAGAAAGGAGATAGATCACTTGCGTCTAACTATCGGCCAATTAGCCTAACGTCTATTGTGGGAAAGTTACTCGAATCTATAATAGCAAATAAAATTCGTCTTCATCTTGAAAAACATAAATTAATAATTGAGTCGCAACATGGTTTTATAAATGGCCGTTCATGTTTAACAAATTTATCTTTTTATTCTAGCATAGTTGAGGCAGTTGATAGTGGTAAGGCTTGTGATGTTGTGTACCTTGACTTTAGCAAAGCTTTTGATACAGTGCCACATGAAAGACTGATTAAAAAGATAGTCTCATGGTATTGGGGGTGCTATATTAAGCTGGATTAGGGCATGGCTATATCAAAGGAAACAAAGAGTTAGTATAAATGGAATCAAGTCGGAGTGGGAAAATGTTGTAAGTGGAGTGCCTCAAGGCTCTGTCCTGGGACCTTTGTTGTTTATAATATATATAAATGATTTAGATTCAGGTTTGAGTAGCAACATTTGCAAATTTGCGATGATACGAAAATCGGTAGGGAAATTAATTAAGAACATAAGAACATAAGAACAAAGGTAACTGCAGAAGGCCTATTGGCCCATACGAGGCAGCTCCTATTCTATAACCACCCAATCCCACTCATATACTTGTCCAACCCGTGCTTGAAACAATCGAGGGACCCCACCTCCACAATGTTACGCGGCAATTGGTTCCACAAATCAACAACCCTGTTACTGAACCAGTATTTACCCAAGTCTTTCCTAAATCTAAACTTATCCAATTTATATCCATTGTTTCGTGTTCTGTCCTGTGTTGATACTTTTAATACCCTATTAATATCCCCCCGGTTATGTCCATTCATCCACTTGTAAACCTCTATCATGTCACCCCTAACTCTTCGCCTTTCCAGTGAATGCAACTTAAGCTTTGTTAATCTTTCTTCATATGAAAGATTTCTAATTTGGGGAATTAACTTAGTCATCCTACGCTGGACACGTTCAAGTGAATTTATATCCATTCTATAATATGGCGACCAAAACTGAACTGCATAATCTAAATGGGGCCTAACTAGAGCAAGATATAGCTTGAGAACCACACCAGGTGTCTTGTTACTAACGCTGCGATTAATAAATCCAAGTGTCCGATTTGCCTTATTACGAACATTTATGCATTGATCCTTTTGTTTTAAATTCTTACTAATCATAACTCCCAGATCCCTTTCGCAATCCGACTTCGCAATCACAACACCATCTAGCTCGTATCTTGTAACTCTATCATCATTACCTAACCTCAGAACTTTACATTTATCAGCATTAAACTGCATCTGCCAATCCTTTGACCATTTCAAAACCCTATCTAGATCAACTTGAAGTGATAGTGAGTCCTCCTCCGAATTAATTTCCCTACCGATTTTCGTATCATCGGCAAATTTGCAAATGTTGCTACTCAAACCTGAATCTAAATCATTTATATATATTATAAACAACAGAGGTCCCAGGACAGAGCCTTGAGGCACTCCACTTACAACATTTTCCCACTCTGACTTGATTCCATTTATACTAACTCTCTGTTTCCTTTGGTATAGCCATGCCCTAATCCAGCTTAATATAGCACCCCCAATACCATGAGACTCTATTTTTTTAATCAGTCTTTCATGTGGCACTGTATCAAAAGCTTTGCTAAAGTCAAGGTATACAACATCGCAATCCTTACCACTATCAACTGCCTCAACAATGCTAGAATAAAAAGATAACAAATTTGTTAAACATGAACGGCCATTTATAAAACCATGTTGCGACTCAATTATTAATTTATGTTTTTAAGAGGAGGACTCACTATCACTTCAAGTTGATCTAGATAGGGTTTTGAAATGGTCAAAGGATTGGCAGATGCAGTTTAATGCTGATAAATGTAAAGTTCTGAGGTTAGGTAATAATGATAGAGTTACAAGATACGAGCTAGATGGTGTTGAGATTGCGAAGTCGGATTGCGAAAGGGATCTGGGAGTTATGATTAGTAAGAATTTAAAACAAAAGGATCAATGCATAAATGTTCGTAATAAGGCAAATCGGACACTTGGATTTGATTGCAGCGTTAGTAACAAGACACCTGGTGTGGTTCTCAAGCTATATCTTGCTCTAGTTAGGCCCCATTTAGATTATGCAGTTCAGTTTTGGTCGCCATATTATAGAATGGATATAAATTCACTTGAACGTGTCCAGTGTAAGATGACTAAGTTAATTCCCCAAATTAGAAATCTTTCATATGAAGAAAGATTAACAAAGCTTAAGTTGCATTCACTGGAAAGGCGAAGAGTTAGGGGTGACATGATAGAGGTTTACAAGTGGGTGAATGGACATAACAAAGGGGATATTAATAGGGTATTAAAAGTATCAACACAAGACAGAACACGAAACAATGGGTATAAATTGGATAAGTTTAGATTTAGGAAAGACTTGGGTAAATACTGGGTCAGTAACAGGGTTGTTGATTTGTGGAACCAATTACCGCGTAACGTGCTGGAGGTGGGGTCCCTCGATTGTTTCAAGTGCGGGTTGGACAAGTATATGAGTGGGATTTGGTGGTTATAAATAGGAGCTGCCTCGTATGGGCCAATAGGCCTTCTGCAGTTGCCTTTGTTCTTATGTTCTTATGTTCTTAACTCCCCAAACTAAAAACGAGCAAACGAGCATGACTTCACAACCGTCCCGCACTGCTGTCTTCACACCTTCCCCCTCCCCGGGAGGGGGAAGCGGGAGCTCCAGACCCCCCCCCCCCTGTGCCGGCTATCCACCCTCACTTCTGTGACTGATGTGAGACCTGGTGGCCGTGCGACTCTGGCTTCTAACTTTATCCAGTGCTGTGCCTTGTGGTGTGTTCCTGTCCTGTGATGGTGTGGGAGCCAGGAGTAATTTCACCAGGACTTGGGCAGCATGTGCCTAGGGTTGTCCACTGCTTTCGTCATCCGCCACTCTTATGCCTTTTGCACTCCAGCAAGCTTTCTTCTCACTCTTCTGCCATTCCTACCAAACATTCATTGTGTTCACCACACATGATATTGAGCTTCATCTCTTCACATTCTTATCTCCAAGGACCTTCCTTATTCAGTAAATATTTTCTTAAAATGCAAGTTCTAATTTATCCATGGAGTAGTATTGACTTTGTTGTCACAAGATAAAAAAAATGCATCATGGCTTCAAATTTTATTTTAGTTTATTTTTCTGCAAATTGCAGGTGGGTCTGGACCTGGATGCAGCGAAAACACGGTGGCGGAATTCGCAGGCCAATCCCGGTCCCAATGCCAAGATGGACACCTACCGTGAGGAGCTGGAGGAGGCCGAGACCAAACTCGATCAGGCACGGGTATGTGTTCCTGATGCACTACTGCTTATCAACTCACCGTTTGATTTCTGCTCGGCTTGCTGTTTTAACAGGCCAAATATGCTTGAGTAACATTAAAGGAAAATAGGATCAACGTCATTAACGTGGATTCATTGTTACGTCGGTGTCATTTGCACAGATTTTCTGGGGGTGCAAGGTGGGGGGGGGGGGGGATAGGGTTACTAGGTTCATTGTTTATACAAAAAAAGTATTCGGTTCTTGCACCTGGCAAAGGAAGTGTTTCGTGTTTTCAATAGTTCATAGTAAATATTGTTTTGTACAGTAATGATATTGTCACCTAGAGTTCCACAATGTATTAAGATACCTATACAGTAATGATTAATAATTGATCCATTTGAGCTATTGTTCATTGATCCACTTGAGCTATTGTTTCAGACATCTGAAATATTTTAGTCGACAGATTCTGTACACAATGCCTTAATTCCCTCTTGCCATATATGCATGAAGGGATAAAGGATGAAATCACTTAATGATTTGTCTGTGACACTTGTCAGTAAAGTATAATGTGCCATTATTTGTTTTTTTTGTTTCCAACATAATTAAGGGCTAACATGTGATTTGTGATTATAAAGATGAAACTCACAAGTAAATTACAATAACGTGATGAATCTATGAATAAATATTGAGGCTGTTTGATGGAATCTTACTTATAAAGATGACATTTTGCAGGACACGTATGCATGTGACATATTTAGTTTGATGGCACGGGAACGTGAAATAACTCAATATATGTGTGGTTACCTGGAACTTCAACGGGAGTTTATGCAAAAGACTCTATCAAAGTTAGACCGCGTGTTACCGGACATGAGGCAACAGCTGGAGGCCTCCTCCAGTAGTCCTGCCTTTGGTGTTCCCCTTCACGATCACCTTAAGATCACCCAGCAGGTATGGAAGCTTTATCATGGCTTGATAAAGAATTATTTGGTAAATACTGCAAGTGTTGGTTAAGTTTTAACATTTGAATTGCTGTTAATTCCTCAAGAAAAAGTTGTGACCTGAACACCAGTTGTTGGAGATCCGTCAACTAGCTAATAGGTCAGAGTCTCATTTGTTATTGGAATTAAGCAGACAAATTGCTCCACCAGCTAAGAACGGCCATGAACAGCAATGACCGATCTTTACTTCTGAGGCTTGATCAAGAATTCTATTGTAAACTTTGTGTTAGTTCAGTCTTAGGATTTACTTGGCCACCTTCATGTCTCTCAGAAAGTGAGGAAACATTATTTTCTAAGGAATTGTTCAGTAAATATTTCAAGTGTTTCTTCAGAATTGTTAAATTAATGTATGTACATGAATGTATGGACAGTTAGTGATTAAAAAGTTAATCGAGTTAAGTGATTAGAAAGTTAATTGTAGATTACACGTGTACAGTATATGCACCTTAGCCTTCAACATGCTGCTATCATCAATATTGTCACCTTTCCTCTACGGAAAGAATAGAAGAAAAAAGAGGGAAGTTGGGTGATGGGGTTACTGTTAATTGATGCCACAAACAAGTGTACTGATATGTAGGTGCAGGAGTGTTCAACACACAGGGTTTCTATGTTCATTGCTTCACTTATTAGTGTACTCAATATAGTGTTTGTGCTGAATAACTCAGTGTACTCATAATTAATACAAAGTTTGTATTGTATAAATACCTAAAATGTACCATGTACACCAATATTGCACATAAATCTGTTCCTGGCACAGCTCAGTGGTGAAGACTTGCAACCCACTTCTCTGATGCAATTCTGTCTAGGATTGTTATCCAGACATGGATACTGACATTAGTGATAGACAACATTGTTTTTGATAACTTTGGGGCTTTAATATATGATAACTGCATCACATGGTAAGCCATTACAAAACGATAGTAGAATTTTGTCGTGGGTCTTGGTTAATTCCACTACATCCATATAATGTGTTATAACCATATTTACATAATTGATATAAAACCAGGGAATATTAGCAAAAATTGGCAAATGGCAAAGATTGCAGTGGCCTAGGAGATGTGCTTCTTGATAGGTGGTACTTCTATTATCAGTTGCAAACAGTAAACTGGAAGCAAGAATTACATGTCTTCCATACTGTATTGCCTTCCTCTCCCATATAGCTACCTGCCAATTGTATATTCCATCTCTCTTGTTACACAGATTAGATGACATTATCAATGAATTAATGAACAATTTATTCCTGGTAAGCTAGGTATATTATCATTCATTCTTATATATTGATTTTGTCTGTATTCCATATAATAATTCTGTACTTCGTTAATCTGATATTATTAAATTAAGTAATGTTAATTAATTAATGTGTCGGCTTTCTCTTCAGGAAATAGCTGTCCCTCTGCAAGTATGTGTGCGGCGTCTTTTAGAAGTTGGCCTTTTTGAAGAGGGTCTCTTTCGTGTGGCCGGTAGCACTTCCAAGGTCCGACGCCTCAAGGGAGCTTTTGATGCTAATTTGGTGACTATTGAAACTCTAGCTCAAGCTGATGAACATGATCGTGACTATGATGTACACGTAGTTGCTGGAGCACTGAAGTGTTACTTGCGAGAGTTGCCAGAACCCTTGCTCACTCACGTCCTCCATGATCAGTGGTTGGAAGCGGTGAGACAGGCAGATCACCAGCTACGTCTCAAAGCCCTGTGGCTTGTTGTGAACCAGCTTCCGCCTACCAATTTGGCCAATCTTCGATACCTTGTCAAGTTCCTAGCCAAGTTGGCAGCCAATTCTAGTTGTAACAAGATGTCCCCCAGTAACATTGCTATTGTTATGGCTCCTAACCTGATATGGGATCAGCGCGATGCTGAAGAGCAACCGGACATGTCAACTCTGGGTCGTAATATGAGCCTCACTGGTGACTATCGATCTATTGTTGATCATCTTGTAGAATATAGTGATTACTTCTTTAAGGAGGAAATAGACTTTGGTGTTATACCACGAGTGCCTCCCTCTCCATCCAGAGTTCATGCTGAACCCAACGGCTCTTTACCTCTCTCTACTCAGCATGGCCGAACAGGACCCCAAACTCACCGTCGAAATGCCAGTGCAGATCTAACTGGCCGTGTAGATAATATGAGTTCGTCAATGATTGTTCCCTCAACTTCTGATTCTTGTGAAAGTCCCAAGCAGCCGCAGAGAACAAAAAAGAAGCAGGCGCCGAGACCTCCACAACCTAGACCAACGAGTACACATGGGTCCTTTGGCGGTCATGATAGCCAAATTTCAGGTGGGAGTTCCAACAGTGCCTCAGGCTCACCAGAACAGGGTAGGAGTAACACCCCGCCTCGGGAAACCATGTCACAGATCTTGGTGCCTGCACCTGCGGCCAGACTACACCACAGTAATAGTATAAGGAGACCAACTGCAGAACCTCCCAAACCTCCTGGAGCTCCTACTAAACCCCCAAGACCCAGCCCTCCCACTGTAGAACATCTAGAACGATCAGCAATAGCACAACAGTATTCAGAGCTGAAGCCGGAAGCTAAAGTGGTCCCCATTGGCTTTGAGCAAATACATACTTCTAAGGAAACGGATATAATTTTTGATGATAGTGAAGTTGTCCTCAGGAAAAAACACACAGAAGGAGTAGGTCCCATAGGTTTTGTAGTAGATGGTAAGACTGAAAGAGAAGATGAGGATACTTCCCGATCATTTCGCAAATCTTTAGAAAGTGTGTTACAACTGCAGGCTGCTGGGCAGCCTGTTGCGTTACCCCGCCACAACTCCGGTTCCTCCGTCACCAGTGAAGGAGAAACAGGACCAGCAGCTGCCATTCCTCTGCCACGTCTTGCCTCTGCTGGAGAGAGTAGTTTACGTCCAGTGATACCTCCTACTCCAGTCCAGCGCACCACCATTCCTGCCATTCCTGTAGCACAAACAGCTCAACGGGTCACTAGGGATATTAACCAATCTGCTGCACCAGATCGACCAGAACAAACGGTAAGATTAACATTCTGTATTACTGCAGTATTTAGAGTTTATTTGTGTATAGTGGTACCTTTGTTCACGTTCGTAATCTGTTCCCAGAGACACGTGGCCGGCCAAAAATTTGTTAACCAAAACAAATTTTCCTATAAGAAATAATGTGAATTGAAATAATCCGTTCCACATCCAAAAAATATTAATGTAAATATACATTTTATACAGAATACTAAAAATACATTTTATACAGAATACTACTCATATTATTTATACACAAAACAATCGGGAATAAATATAATCCATAAATAAAATAAGTGAACATTTAACTGCACTTTACCTTTACTGATGACTTGGTGTATAGGAGACTGTGAGGGAGGGAGGGAGGGAGGGAGGGAGGGAGGAGCAGTGTTGGTGTATGGGGAGGGTGAGGAGGGAGAGGGAGAGGGGTGGTGGTGAGACCGTCCCCTGCTAACCTTAAGCGCATTCATTTCTGCATCACTGGTTTCAGATTTTCTTTTCACACATTTCACTGCCTCGGTTATGTGGCAGCCAGTCAGAACCAGTCACTTAGTCACAAGACAGTCAAGACCAGTCACAGGCAGTCATAACCAAAGACAGTCAAGCATTCACAGTTGTGGTAGCAACCAGTTAGGCATTTAGTCATTCAGCCATTTACAGTCAATCAGGCTTTCACAGTCAGTAAACAACAAGAGTTTAATGTCATGCAGTCTGCCTCATAATCCACCAGCTGGTAGCAACAGAGCCAGTATTAATACCGTCTAGGTGTGGCTGGGAGGGTCTGGTGGAAGGATGGGGTAGCGATGATGGTGCGATGTGGGGTATGGGGGAAGTGGGGAGGGTGCAGTGTGGGGGGGGGGGTTATGGGGGAAGTGGGGAGGGTGCAGTGTGGGGGGACAGAGGTTCACCCCACCATGCATCCAGTCCCCAGCCACTATCCATCTGCCTAGTCCCCATCCATCATCCATCCATCCAGTCCCCAGCCACCATCCATCTGCCTAGTCCCCATCCATCATCCATCCATCCAGTCCCCAGCCACCATCCATCTGCCTAGTCCCCATCCATCATCCATCCATCCAGTCCCCATACCTGGTTACCTGGTTGATGGGGTTCTGGGAGTTCTTCTACTCCCCAAGCCCGGCCCGAGGCCAGGCTCGACTTGTGAGAGTTTGGTCCACCAGGCTGTTGCTTGGAGCGGCCCGCAGGCCCACATACCCACCACAGCCCGGTTGGTCCAGCACTCCTTGGAGGAATAAATCTAGTTTCCTCTTGAAAATGTCCACGGTTGTTCCGGCAATATTTCTTATGCTTGCTGGGAGGACGTTGAACAACCGCGGACCTCTGATGTTTATACAGTGTTCTCTGATTGTGTCTATGGCACCTCTGCTCTTCACTGGTTCTATTCTACATTTTCTTCCATGTCGTTCACTCCAGTACGTTGTTATTTTTCTGTGTAGATTTGGTACTTGGCCCTCCAGTATCTTCCAGGTGTATATTATTTGATATCTCTCTCGTCTTCTTTCTAGTGAGTACATTTGGAGGGCTTTGAGACGATCCCAATAATTTAGGTGCTTTATTGCGTCTATGCGTGCCGTATATGTTCTCTGTATTCCCTCTATTTCAGCAATTCCCATCATCAGCATTCCCATCCATCATCCATCCATCCAGTCCCCATCTACCATCCATCCATCCATCCAGTACCCATCTTCCATCCATCCATCAAATCCCCATCCACCCCTATCCATCCATCCAGTTCCTCCATCCATCTATCCAGTTCCCCCACCATCCATCCATCCAGTCCCCCATCATCCATCCATCTACCCCCCTATCCATCCAGTCCCCCATCATCCATCCATCCATCCATCTACCCCCCTATCCATCCAGTCCCCCATCATCCATCCATCCATCCATCTACCCCCCTATCCATCCAGTCCCCCATCATCCATCCATCCATCCATCTACCCCCCTATCCATCCAGTCCCCCATCATCCATCCATCCATCTACCCCCCTATCCATCCAGTCCCCCACCATCCATCCATCCCTCCATCCATCCATCTACCCCCCCCTATCCATCCATCCATCCATTCCCCTCACCATCCTGGGACCCATGGCATGATATATAATAAGAACTTTACTGTTCAGAAAACAAAAAAGCAGAAAAAGTTAAATTCTTTACAAAGAATTTAAGATCGGTCGTCAGAATAGACCTGTAAAGAAACCGAGCACCTTGCCCCTTGCCCCTTGCCCCCAGCACCACGCACTCATTGTAAAGAAACCGAGCACCTTGCCCCTTGCCCCCAGCACCACGCACTCATTGTAAAGAAACCGAGCACCTTGCCCCTTGCCCCCAGCACCGCGCGCTCATTTGACCCAAACACGTACGAACAGACATCGTCTTTCAATTCAAATTTTAAGAAGAATTTGACATTGTGTTCCAAAAACTTTGTCTTCTAGGGCAGTTATCAACCGAGGTTCCACTGTAAATTTTAACCAGTGCTTGAGTTATGGCATTTTAATACTGTATACTAGGAACTGATGCTTCTTCATTTAAAAATAAAATCTTATAACCTCTGATAGCTTATCAATAGTTTAAATATTTTGTTTAAAGAATTTGTTGTTAAGTATTTTTTATGACATTTGAATAAAATACAAATGAAAGTAAAAAGTGAAAGATGGAGACTAACTGGAGTGGTAAAAAAATATAAGAATTAAAAGAAAAATTAATAAACAAAAAACTTTAATATGTATTAACCCCTTAACTACTCGGCTTCCAAATATGACACCCCCCCCCCCACCAGTGCGCAGGAAATAAATTCTCTGGAAAAAATTCTTTTCTTTTTTTAAAGTGTCAAAAACCCTTCCCTCAGTATGGGCATGTCAAAAAAATTTCAACATTGTATGTACTGTACTTTGGCTGCTATGGGGTCCGTAAGTTGCCGCATGACGTCATCATTCCCCGTTCGCCCCTGACGTACGCTCCTGGGGCGGGGCGCGCGAGCTGTCGCAAATATGTTTTTGTTCATTTTTTGCGCACAGTTCCAAATACATTTTATTTGTTTTTACATGCTAATCCTATGTATAATGAACACGTACACTATATTATAGCAGTAAAACATCCGTACTGTCTGAGGACACTGTGTTACGTGCATGACACTTGTGTACACATATGTTGCACATATTTACCATGTATCATGCTAATTTATGTATATATACAATCTATTTACACACTATACACTGTCACACAGAATATACATTCACCATCAACACACACACAACTAGAGTGTGAGCAGCCACACCCAGCCAGCCTGTCCTCCCTTATTCCTCCAACATCGTACTCATCACCCCTCCTCCCACCATACTGTTATTCACACCAATGTTTCAGGTTCATTTATGTATATTTACAACACATTTACACAGTATATAAACACACACCATAAACACACTCAGAACTCCACGAGTGAGAGCTGCCACACCCAGCCAGTCAGTCCTCCCTCTCTTCTCCAACATCGTACTCGCCATCACCCCCCCTCCCACCATACTCTTACTGTTTTTATTACACTATTTACATATGTTATGTATACCTATCTACATGTTTTATTCACCAGAACTATGCAAGTAAACCGGCATTGTGTCCAAACAGTACAGTTGCTATCATACACTACATGAGAAATCACACAGCTGAGAGCAGTCGACGCTACGATTACGATGTCACCTCCCTCGCCAAAATAGCTCCTCTCAACATACTCTTGTTGCTGTTATTACACTATATACACACACTGTATATACCCATGTACATATGTAATTACCTAAGTGTAGTTACAGGATGAGAGCTAGTAGTAGGGATGGTGGCGTATGGGCCCTTTTTTTTCAGGTAAAAGTTCCGCTAAGCCCCACCTAATTCAACGAACTTTGGAAAAGGGTCGATATGCTCTTAGAGGTTTCTTATGAGGAAAATAATTTCTGAGATCTTAGAAGTTTGTTAAGGTTTCTTATGAGGAAAATAATGTCATAGAAGTTTGTTAAAAGTTCTTATGGGAGAAATTCAAATTCGTGTTTGGCGTGTCATGGGTTCCCCATAGCGAACCACTAAGCTAGTATGGCGAGCAAAACAAGAGTGGCTGCCACACACACAAAGTGAGGCTACCTCAATTCTCTCCCTCCCTCACCAAAATTCCTCCTACCACAATACTACGCACAATGCTAATTATAACCACAATCCTGGTCACTAATTCCTGTAAATGAATAATTGACCACATGTTTATTTTGAAAAGGAACCTAAGAAGTCATTTGAAGATTCTTAGATGGATGAAATAATGCTGTGGTGCTGTGGCTAGCGCTGTGAACATTGTGAACAGCATTGAATCACTGATATTTGAACATTGTACCCAGTCATTATCACACTCAGGCTCTTCTATAATACTATCATGGCTAAATAATACAAGTTATATATATATTTTGACATTATTAGGCGATGCTGTGGTCACACGCTGAACAGCAGTGCTGTGCGCTCATGCTGCGAGCGCCAGCCTTGGTTGCTCACTCACTACTGAGGCTCTCACACCCAGGAATGTGGACCATGATTTTTTTTAAAGATGGCGTCTGTTTACAAGAGCCCTGAGGAAGCTGATGTGAACCCCATGTAGCCGCGGGAGTTTTGATTGGAACGTGAAAAATAAAAATACCCGGAGGCACGTTGCACAAATCAGACATGGGCCTGCAGGCGCGTTGCGCAGTTTAACCCTTAAAGTGCGCATCACGTCATATGACGTGTTGGACGTTGTTCCAGTCAACTGCGCATCACGTCATATGGCGTTGGAGTACTACGCAAGATTTAAACGGCCCGCGGATACACGCGGTTCACCACACCTTCATCAGGGCTCTTGTAAACAGATGCCATTTAAAAAAAAAAACGTGGGCCAAACTCCCGGGTGTTATTGGCCTCAGTATTGAGTGAGCTACCAAGCCTGACGCAGCATGAGCTAACAGCACTGCTGTTCAG